AAGAAATATTCAGGAATTGTATGATAAATGTATCATAATTGTATTTAAATTGTATCAGATACGTAAAACGTAATTGTATCATACTAGTATCACAATTGTATATAACTTGTAGATGGTACATTAATATCCAAAATAATACCTGATATAATACAAATAAATTAATATATAATTATCGTTATATTTGTAATACAAACTGTGATGATTTTGGGTAAGTACAAAGACAGTTATAATTTTTTTTGGAAAAAGGAAGAGTATCTTAAATGAAGGGGATTATGTGTAACTGATATCCGGTATTTAAGGTATGTTTCATTTCCTCCTTTTCATGATTTTGTATAAAACTAGTAATATAGGTTTATAAAGTAATTAATAAGGAACCTAAATAAAGCTAGTAAATAGGTTTCTATTATAGTATAGCTAGGTAAAAATCCCATTCTTTTAGCTAACAAGTTTATTATACCCATAAAGGATCTAAGTTACATGCTCTGATAATGTATAAAGCTTTAAACTATCAATATAATTTCATCAATTTTTAAGGCATCTGGTAGTAAAAAAACACCGGCCTCCGACTAATTTGGATTCGCATCGGGTATGCTACTGCAAGATCGATTTTTTAGGTATTTGATACTCAAAAAACACGACCTCTTAGCTAATTTGGCTTCGTATCGGATAGACTACTGCGAGAGACAAAGCATTCTCGATTTAGAGGTTCTTATCATCAACTCTTCAAGTCAAAACTTCTAATTAAAGTGGATGATCTCAACCATCCCACCACACCTCTCGACTGTTATAACGTTACAAGCTTACATAATTCCTGCCACAAAAGGTGAGAAGAACTGGGCTTCTTTTTAGCGCCCATTACTGTCCTTTTCCATGTGACATAAGGTTCTTTCACTCCTGCTCACAGTTCTGGGCTATCTGGCCCACCTAACTAATTAAATAGGCCCACATATCAATTGTAATGCTCCTTTTCTTGGTCCCACTGAAAAGATAGAACAGAAATACAATAAGGAAAGGGGTTTCAGATATTATTAAATATTTCCAATGAAAGCATATACCCCTAATGTGATATTCAAGCCTAATAAAGGGCAGCCCAGTGGACTATGCTTCTGCTATGCGCGGGGTCCAGAAAAGAGCCGGACCACAAGAATCTATTGTACGCAATCTTATCCTGCATCTCTGCAAGAGGTCCGTGACCTCCTGGTCACATGGCAACAACTTTTCTTTCGTGGAATTTGGATTCCCTCCGTATGAATTATAGCCAGGAAAAAGTTGTTTAGTGATCCATTTTCCATATGGTAGATTGATCCTTTATGCGCAAACGAATTCACAATTTCAAATCAATAGGTGCAAAATTTCAATACACCCTCTATCTTTGTTATCCGCGCACTGCGTACTGTCGATCATACTGACACAAGCAAACTGACTCAAAAAGCACGCGTAAGCCACCATAATTGTCAAAATGTCAATCTAGCAATCAAAAGATGTACCTTGAATACCCTACATATGTATAAAACCTCATATATATGGGGAAAAAACACTAGAAAGAAACAGAACCAAAAACTAGAGGGTCCAATGTCATGGACCATGGTCCAATGCCATCCTAAAAGGGCACAAAATTTATCTATTGTCTGCACTAATGAATGGGGATGAAGAGGTACTCTGCCATGGCACATGCCAATTTTTAATTTACATTCTGAACAATTTTCTTGTTCATCTCAAGTATTCCATGAATATTATAAGCAGAAAATTGACAGAGTTCTATCAAATCTTGTCTTTGTATGGATATTAGCTATCCACATTCGACCTTGAAAATAGTCCTTTAATTTGGGACCTCAGCTTTTGACTAAAGCAAAGGGAAAATTCATTATAGGACCAGACACTTGTTGGCCAGAGCTTGGGTATAACTATGAAGACTTTGTTTGCTACCCACCAGCATAAAGGAAATAAAGAGAAAATGACTGAAAAGGATAGTTTCCCCCATCATCTTCCCAGAGAGGAATTTAAGATTATAACTGCTTCCACTACTATATTTAATTTTTTGACAGTTGATACGAATTTAATACCCACACACACACACACACACTCTTTTAAGGATTATTCAATTATCAACAAAAAAAAGTTGAGCTTAAATGAAGCACTGAGAATTCATATAGCCGGCCCCAACTTATTGGAAATGAGGCGTAGTTGTTATTGCTGTATCAAAAATATATAATTCAAGCCGAGGGTAAGGATTATAAGCCGACTACCGGAATACATCCGTCTCAGGCCCTCAACCACCTCACACACCGAATTTAAGGAAAAGGAAAGAAAGAGGAAAACACAAAACCAATACGAAAAAATGACTAACTTAAAGATTTCACGGTCCTCAAACATGTGTGAGCCAGTGGGTTAATTTCGTCAATGTTAATGGATAAAGTTAACAGAAATGAGGTGTTTCGATATATTTTATCAAACTAAATCACCTACAGTATGCGATTAAGAAGCTTTAAATAAAGATAAAATGTCACTGTACAAGGAAAAAAGAGGATCCAGAAATCAGAAGTTGAACAAGTAACAAAAACAAACAACTACACCTTAATCCCGGGCAAGTTGGGGTCGCGAGAAGTTGAATAAGTAACAAAAACAACAACTACGCCTTAATCCCAAGCAAGTTGGGGCCGGCGAGAAGTTGAATAAGTGATGGAGATTTTTTTTTTCCTACGATAAAGACATCCTTATGGAGTTAAGGTATTTAAAATCACATTGAATTCCCAACAGTTTCCAATAAGATGTTAGCCTAAAGATTTACTGTTTACCCTATAGACCCAGCCTACTAGACCAATTTATTCAACTACCACAAGCTGAGAAAAATTAGCTCCACATTGTGCACATATCATGTGAGATCTTAAAAGGGGTTAATAAAAAAAACTCAGATTTACCACCCCATTTCCTTCAGTTTGATTTGCAAAATAGCTGATATTTTCAATAAAAAGATACAAGTCTGACAAGCATGCACCCATTTTTGTCACCAAAAACAATGTAGTGGTGCACCGTATTTGCTGATTTAAGTTCCTATATCACCCTCTAATTCCAAGCTTAGTTGAGCATTAAGGTCAAACTTTTAAGACGAAACATTAAGGAAAATACCTGATATTAACTCAACACAGCATTAGGACGCAGTAATATCTCATCATGCTTATAACTAGTTCCTAATCATATATATACTTATACCTACGATCGTTCTTTTTACTTAACATGTTCAAGTCAGCCGTGTGTAGATTACGCAAGATATTGAAAGAGTAAAGTTAGAAGATTATATTTAGCAAAGAACCCTTTCCCTGCTCCTATAAAATACCCCTTTCTCTGGCAAAAGGAAATAGGAGGAGGTTGTGACAATGGAATAAGATGAGGGTGATAGGCAAAATGTCAACCTTCACTGTCTATATGAATATGAAGAACTACCTATGAGCAGTGACGCAGACAGAAGTATTGGTTTATACTGTCACAATTTGGCTTTTAAATGATTTGGATCTTGGAACTGTGGTAGTTTAAGGCTTTACTTCCCGTCCCAAATTAACATTTACTTTGTATTATTTTCAAGCTATGTTGACGTAATGTGTGTGGTTGTATGTATTAAAAATATATTATTTGCATATAAGATGAAAATGTTTTCGGTGTCATATGCCACCACTTATTAAAGGGTATCTCAGCCACTGCCTCCGAGCATAATGGAGTTACACAAACAATCAATTAACTAAGCCTCGACCCTAAATTACCTAAGCTCGGCTCTTCTCAGACCGAACATTAGAGAAAAATGTAGCTATTAGCTTAAAACAAAAGCAGGATTCACAGAACAACAAATTACATAGAGCGAAGATCATTCTTCAAAAATATATTTCCACCTTGTTGCAGTTAGTATAACACTTTTGATATACCAGTTAACCTTTCCCAAAAATAGTACTACATCAATATTTGCATATATGAATTATCATAAGGTTTTAAAGATTGTTTTGACAAGCGTCTATTGACAGAAAAAGGTTATAAAGATCCTAGAACAAAAGACACTGATAGATCAGTCATCCTATCATTTATCTATTCAATTATATATTTTATTTATTTATTTTTAAAAGATATTGATATTTTATTTTTGGCCTTAATTGCTACTCCCTCCGTCCGAATTTATGTGGCGGTGTTTGACTCGGTATGGAGTTTAAGAAAGAAAGAAAGACTTTTAAAACTTGTGGTCTAAAACAAACATTATATATTTGTGTGGCTGTAAATTATTTCATTAAGAGTAAAGCAGGAAGTTTAAAGTTAAATTGTTTCTAATAAGGAAGTACGACATTCTTTTTGGGACAAACTAATAAGGGAAGTATGAGACATAAATTGGAAAAGAGGGAGTAATTGTTCCTATTACAATTAATTTGCCCCAACTTATTATAAATAATAAACCTGGAAGAAGGAGAGAGACGGGTGATGATTTTCCTAGTTGATTCTTCCTGGAACGAACCCTGATTCATTTCTGCTTAACCATTGCTTCAAAATGGGACATTATTTTGACAGATGTGCTTTGAATTATTTAGATGAAAAGAGAAGGGCGAACTGTGGGTTATCATCTTTGTTTGACAAGTAAAAGATGGGAAGGTAAGATAGAGGAGTTTCCTTTTTGTTTTAACTGCCCGGTATCTACTATCTAAAGCTCACTGGGGCTATATTTGGATTTGCATCAAGTAAACCCACTTAAGAAAGTTTGGTTCTCTCTACCAAAAGGTTCTCCATTCCCAGGATTCAAACACGAGACTTCAAGTTAAAGGTAGAATATTTCCAACCAACTCTCCATACCCCTCGGCAGTAATAGATGGGTTAACCCCTTCATATAATTTTTTAGCCATTTGAAACTTAAATGGAAATGAGGAAGTATATCTCTTAAACTTCCATTCAAATCGCAGTACATAGCCATCAACTGGCTATAAGTGACCTACCTTCCAATTAAAGTAACTAAACCTACGCATGACATTCCGTAAAGCATTTAGAACAGGACTAACTGCTTAGATTAGTTAACTTACCTTGAAGTGTGTACAACCACAGAAAGAACCGTAGACGGCTCCTTCGTCTTAATTAGTAGTACAAGAGTAATCAACAGATATACACTTCAAAGAAAAATATATTCAGCTGTCTAAGAGCTATATACAATCGTACCAAAAATGGATGATAACCTACAGATTGTACCTCTCACACTAGAAGTTGAAGGAAACACTGACACTTGTACCTCTATACCCGCTGCTTTATAGGTCTGTGAGGCTTTGGAGCTGAAATCATTAAAACAAGAAAACTACTCAAACTTCTTGTAGAGGCAAAAGAAGAATGATGTCGGAGAAGAAAGGATATTAATATTGTAGCAATTCATATTTAAAGAAGCTATGAAGATGGTAAGCATTCAAGAATACTAGGTGATTTAATTGTCAAATGCATTTAAATTTTAAAAGACAGATCAATTGCGAGGATGCAAGAAGAGATCGGTGATGATACAATAAACTCATATCACCTGCATTCAATTAACCCCCCCCCCCCCCCCCAAACCCCAAAAAAAATAATAATAATAATAAACAAATTGAAAAATATCAGAACTCAACCCCTTTACTATAATAAATGTACCAAAAAAATACACTGTGTAATGCTAACCAAGCAAAAGTTGGTTTAAATGATGAGAACATTACTAACAAGGAAAATTCATTTTAAGTGTTGATGGAAGTAGCTAGCTCAAGTAAATAAAAAGAAGGTGCAAAACATTAAAAAGTAACATGCAATAGTGAGAGATGAGTATTTATTGCTGAACTTGATGAAATAAGGCCTTAGAGTCTTAGCATGTATTCTGTATGCGTATTCTCCATGTAAATTCCATGCCATTGAGAAATCTTTTTTTTTTTTTTTTGAGATGATAACAGAATGCCATTGAGAAATCTGATTATACTACTTAATGGAAACAAATACAAAAAACATGCAATTGATCAAAGAATGTCTTATCATCAATTTTAGACACATTAAAAGGTGACATGAGCACATTCTCTCCTCTTCCAACTCCCTCCCAAATTTTAAAGAAAGCAAAAGGAAACCGCTTACTCTAACGGTAAACTTTTAAAAGCTGAAAGAAACTTATACCATTTTATGCAAAACATCTCTTATAAATTACTAGTAGACTACTGACAGTCACGGCAATCGTGGAATTGAAGGAGCATTGTTTGTACAGACACTGTACTTTGTTTATATGCCAGGTGACAGCCCACAATTAGACCAATCTTCTACAGTGCAAAATTGGGACAAAAACCTTCTCAGTCTTAGAAAAGTAATATCTGTGATAGCTTTGATGAATTAGTGGAATATGAAGCAATCTCATTACAAAGCTACCACATGCCAGTTAAGCTCTAATTTCATTCCAGTTTTACTACTATCAGATTTTCTAGATCTATTGATTTACTTGCAAAAACATCACATCCTATAGCACAATGACCGAGGCAAGCAATAAATCCCTGGCTGAAACAGCTTGAGTTTGTCAGCCATCATCCGCTTTCTGTATGTAGTATCTAGTGTCAAACAACATTTACTAGCATTAGAATGTTATAGAGATGGAGCTATACCATTCGGATTTCCTTGCTCATAGAAGCTTCGAAGAAGATAGACTGCTTCAGAAGCCATTATTCCAGCAGTGCATTTGAAACCCTTTTTTGACGAGGCAAATCCACTGAAAGAAAATAAATATCAAAGACCAGCAGGGGGGGGTTGGCAATTGTAAATGAACAAAGAAACAAAAAATAAACTGATAATGGAGCACGCCGACCTCCTCTACCCACAGCTGGGAAGGGAGAGGGGTGGGATCTCCCAGCAGAAAGGGCTAAAACCTCTGTTTAAACCGAAATACTCGATCACGCAGCAGGTCTCCCAGAAGGAGCAGGTTCCTTGTTTTCCAAAACGGTTGGCTACGCTATCCACATTCTATAATGGTATAGCAAACATACATCTTTAGATGGATGCATTCCGCATATTTCGACAGGTAACTAGTGATGGATGAAGAAGAAAACAAGACGGATGCATTCCGCATATTTCGACGTGTAAGAATCAGTGATGAAGAAAACAGCAAATGGTGAAGTCTGAAATCAGGCCATATCAGAGTAATAATACAAACTATCATGCACTTAGAATTTTCACTTGAAGGAACTCCAGAACCTTTCTCAGCTATATTCATTCTCTAAACTTATAATAGCAGTTTCAAAAGCTTCTAAAGCACATCCACAGAATGTTTTTTCTTTTTCCATCCAGAAGAGCAATTTCATGATTCTTCTTTTACATACATTAGTAATAAGTTGTTCAACCAAGCTTCTGGGAGGGCAAAAGTTTTTTTTGTAAAAAAAAAATGGTGCTTGTTTTAGAGAATTGAGGTGTTTGCCTAAGTTTTTCGGAGAAAAATAAGTGCTTCTAACCAGAAACAGAAGCTGTTTTGATTTTCCTCTTGGCGGAAATACCCGTAGCAAAATATTTCACATACCAAAATAACCCTACTTAATTTACCTAATAGTTTTCATAACCGTGGTGTTCGAGCCAACTTGTGCACACCTCGACTAATTCCAAGGGGTAGCTGCTACCTCCAACCAGCACAGGCACCCTTGTCCACCAAAGCTTGGACAGATGGGAAGAATTCACCTAGTATTTTCATAATAAATACTTAAATTATGTATCTACTTAAAAAATATTACGTAACAATTAAGTAAATTTTTCTGTGTCCTTATTTAATATGCTAGTCAAAAGCACATATTGGGGCAGACACAAATTGCTGCTCCAAAATCCTTTTCAAATTGATTAACCGAACACAAACTGCTTCTCTTCAAAAGTATTTTTTTGAAAAGCATTTTCCAAAATAAGAAGATTTTAGAAGCTTGGCCAAACAGGCTATAACTCTAAAGCATAACAATCTCTTTTGTGTTTACATTGAAAATGCAGAGTATATACCAACAAGTATGCCTCAGAAATGCAGAGTATATACCCCTAATGAAAACATAAATTTCTTTCATTGAGGAGGTTTTAAAGAGGACACAAAAGTATATGATGCCAGAGCATACACTGTCCAGAAACTGACTATGACCAATAACTTCTATTGATATTGAAAAGCAGCAGAATTTGTGTTCGTCGGGCACCAAGGGGATACCTTTTTTTTTTTTGAACAAAGAAACGGCATGCCTCTTATGTTCAAAAGCTATAGTTGAATAATCAACAAACCAGCTACCACACATGACTTGTTCTATCCTTTGGCTACCCACTATAGCCACGGTGCTGCAATATATGGATCAAACCACCAGTACAGTGGTGCCCTGCCTTCTGGCAAACCAGCAAACACTTTGCAAAATTTCAACAAGTTGGGGCAGAAGAAATGAAAATTGAGGATCAAAGATGGTAAAACAGAAAGTGAAGGATAGCTCTTGGATAAGCATATCTAACTGGGTTACTAGGCTGATCTTTAAGCCATACAGCAAATTAGTATATATTGGTCACCCACAAAAGACTTTCTGTACTCTAACCTTGCCAATGGAAGTGGGCAATGGTAAATTCACGTGAGGATCAAATTTGACAGATCTAGGATTAAGGAAACACATGCAGATAAAATATAGAGTACTAATTATGCTCATTTATATCTAAGATTAAGTAACTCGTTTCTAATCCTGTCTCCCTAACTAAATGTCAAAAACACGTCTGGCCATAAAAATCTGAGAACTTAAAAGATGTTCCCAACAAAAAAGAAAAGGAAACAAAAGAGAAAAAGAAAAGGAGTTTGCGAATTCTAAGCAGGCTTACTTGAAGCAAAAATGTGCACACTCAACAAGAATTCTTTTTAAAGATTTAAATAGACAACTGTAAATTTAAATGTTTTTCTCATTTAACAGTAACCATTTATTTAAAGCAAGTTCAAGAACTGGCCAACATTTCCACTTGCAGGAAATCTCATAACTATATCTCTCTGGATTAGGCCAAACATCTCCACAGGTTTTACATCAGCATGCACCTCATAGGTAGAATTAGCTCGTGATCTTGCTTCTGACCTTAGTTCAACTAGATCTCCAACTGGCCAAAGAAGAGTGGGGATTTTCTAGATCACAGATATTCTAATGTATCTAGCAAGGGCATAAACAATTGACCTAACAAAAGAAGCTACTATTTGTGTCTGGATGCTTTTTCTTGAAAAGCTGAATTATGAAGGAAGTAAATTCAGTGATTAATATCAGCTAGGGTCAAACCTAGTGGGAAGCTCAGAGCAGCTGGTATGCAGTGATAGTATAGATCCACAACCTCCAAATTTATCATTTGCACATCCGTAATATGCCTCTTTTATTCCTAACAAAGAAGAACAGGTTATGCTCGAGAAAGGCGCTAACGTTATATAAAGCAAGACGATCAGATAATGAAATGCTTCAACATACCAAGATATGATAAGGCTGCTGCACACATTATACAAGGCTCACAGGTAACATACAGAATGCACTTTGAGAATCTTTCGGAAACTTCAAGAGGTGAAAGTCCATTTTTCTGCCACTGTTCAACTAGAAAATCAATTGCTTCCATCTCCGCATGTCTTGTAGCCTGGATTCACAGAAAAGCTTAGCCAGGTTTACATGATCAGGAAATAAGTGCACATGAATGCAGAAAGCCTTAAATAATTACTAAAAGCCAATGGTAACCATAGCAAGCAAATAATCATGCAAGTATCAACTGCAATAGCCTAATATGGAAATCCATTTCAAAAAATGCAATGGCTATATATTCTTCTTGGGCGAGATAGTAAAAGATCTATGCATTGATCAATGTTACAAAAATCTAAAGAAGAATAATATCAACTAAACCAAGATACAAGACACAACAGTACAAAGCTAGCTAAATTATAGTTTTCTAGGGTGCCATAGTAAAAAATATGTGCATCGTCAATGAAGTAAAAAAATACCTGTGACATGATACGAGGCGAAAAATACGATAGTTATCAAGAAAAATCTCTTATAGGAGCCAATTTTTATATAAAGGATTTTTTCTTTTCATATGGTAAACCTCAACTCCGCTCACACCCCAGGCTAACAATGGTTTTTTTTTCCAAATTTCCACTTGGTGACTCGAACTAACCTCCTGGTTGTAGCGGAGGATACTTTCTACTAGGCTATCCCTTCATCATCCATTTTTTTAGAAAAGAGCGTTTGCAGAAAATCATTTTTTTCTCCAACCTTCTGGTGAAAACAGCATGACTGAGCTTAAGGGAAAACATTGAAATGCTTTAGAGGCTAAATATAATATTTTGTATAGTTGCTCAGTACCACGGAGGGTGAGATATCACTACTGCAACACAACCTCTTGATTACAGCACATCTTTTTCTTTGAGAAGTTCATTAGAGCATATATGTGGACAACATAGGCATAAAAGATTTCTCGAATACAAATGAATAGAAGTGTCCAAGATAAATTATCTATAGCATAGATACTGACATCAAGTTAGCACCTAACAATCTAACAAAATGGAAGATGCTTAATAAGATCTGACTAAGAAAAATAAGAGCTGAAAACTTACATTACTTGTTTCATTCGTTCGATTTCTTCCTGAGGCAACGACTTCCCCATCCTCAACAATAACGCAACTGGACTGAGGAAATACATAATCAAACATGCGAACTGACCAAAGCACAACTAAAGAAAAGACAAGGACATAGGGAACTGCATCAAAAGGGATTCATGATAAAAGGGACAACTTGGTAGGCGAAGCTACAGTCCAGATAAATTTTATTCCAGCCAAATCCTGTCACGCCTTGCAGGCATAGTGTTTGTAACATGACTGTTACATAACTCACATACTGTTCAACTCTTCATTAAGGTCTGACAGAGGTTTCAATGAGAGCGGGCTTGACTTGACTTAGCAAAAATGTTCCTCTACTATACAAATGGGAAACTCTAATATGAATCCACAATCATCAACGAAGTAACACTCAAGGAGGCATAGTTTCTTATGTCAACATGGGCCTAATTGAGGATGAAATACCACCAAGGCACCAATACGTAAAAAAGAAGGTTCTGTGGATGCACTCCCCTGAGAGCTAAACTAGATAACTTCAACAAGAATCTCACCCCACCGGAACTTCAAGATTGGCCAACGCATCCTTTGCCTGACAGAAGAAAAAAGTATTAGGAATATGGGTCGAATTGCAATTAAAAAAGCAAAAATAAAAGCAGACTAGTATCCTAAGTCCTAACTAGGTTCTATATATGGTGACAAAAGAAGGAAGAAAGAGCACACTGTCCCAGATTGCACAGATAAGCATTACCGAGTCAGACTTTTGAACTACAAAGTCCTACCCGATCATTTTACTGCTAACTTTCATCATGACCCCAGCCAAAAGACTTGCATCTCAATTTTATACCCATCTTTTTGTGGAGGAGACTTGCTTAAAGATTCAACAACAACAACAACAACAACATACCCAGTATAATCCCACAAGTGAGGTATGGAGAGGGTAGTGTGTACGCAGACCTTACCCCTACCTGGCGAGGTAGAGAGACTGTTTCCAATAGACCCTCGGCTCAAGAAAGACTTGCTTAAAGATTGTGTTAGAGAAACAAACTGGAAAAAGAGTAGTACAACAATAAAAGACTTTATCAGCTCCCTCAAGGATTATATAAATCTGACCTCATAATTTGAAGAGCTGGGGAGCCAATATGTAAAGGAGCCTAACAATAATAACTCTTAACTTTATGGGAGCAAGATTGGAAGCTTAATAATTAAAGAGGAACCCAACGACAAGATCCTAAAAGATCAGGAAACAAAATATAATACTCCTAAATCAACCCAAAACAAAGATAATAAAGGAAAGACAGGTTGCCCTATTAATATAAACAAATAAATAAACAAAAAGAAGGATTTAAATTTTAATCAAATTATGGTTGCTTAAATTATATTCGGGCTACAGCAAAGTGAACAAAAAAGTTTCTCTCTTTTTGTCCTCAGTAAAAGTGTGTCTTTCATCATTCTTATAAGGACGGAACAAACTTGACTATCAGCTTCCACTTTTAAGATCAACTAGTAGTTCCACATTTCAACTAGTGGCGGAGCTATGTGGTGGAAAGGGCCCTTCATTAAAAATTATACTGTGCCAGTTGAGCCAAAATGAATTTTGTTTGGTTGTATATTAGTTGTCGGATCCCGTTGATATAAGGAATAAAGTCCAGTGAAGTGGCAAACGGGGTCAAAAGTTGCTTTAGATTACATGTTCAATTCCCATGTCTCACATTTTATTGATTTTTCTGAATCCCCTTGTATAAATTCCTGGCCGACCTCAACTTATAGTTGTACATTTATTGGAGAATCATCAAAACAAAATATACACACACATATACCATATCAACAATATAATAGGTATGTACCTGTTCTAAAGCGAGCTTCATAAATTCAAGTGTATGTTCCTCATAGCTTGCCATCTGCAAAGCAAAAGACATGATATAAGTAACAAGAGAAAGTAGTTAATCAAACAGACAAGGATTTTTCAAATACAATAGCGTGTGCACAACATCTCCAAGCCTTATAAGCATTTTATCATACAAATGATGTCCTACTATGAAATGCTATGTTGCTCGGACTCTCCGAAAATGCCACTGGGTGCGTGTCGGATCCTTCAAAAATAGTGCATTTTTGGAGGATCCGACACGGGTGCGGCGACATTTTGGAGAGTCCGCGCAACATAGATGAAATGTTACATGTAAATCACAAAAATAAGTAAACTACATCACAATGTCAGAATATTTCTGCAAAATATATGATACAATAGTGATGCGCTTGCAGAAGGAATTAAAAAACGAACCAAACAAAGAAAAGAGACGCACTTGAAGAGGTGACGCTCTTTGCGGGTTTTTCTCGACCACTGCGGTTTTTGCGTTATGTATATTTTGAGTTTTGAAAAAAAAAAAGGGGAGGAAGAAACCAAAGAATAGACTCAGGAGAGTGTCAATAGTTTCTCACATTATAAAGTCATACTACTATTGATATCTAATACTAATACAGTAGTTTATTGTGTCAAGTTCGGAGGGGTATGTTATCTTGGCCCAAATACTAATAAGTAGTAAGAAATTAAGTTCACATAAACCCTACTTAACTAAACTCGATCAAGCATTTTCTCAAACACAATATGTGGGCAAATCAATACTGCCAATATTCAACACTTTAAAGCCATAGCTCTCCCAAATTCCAAGAAATAGCATTCAACAGCCCAATCTTAGAAATAAAAAATAATAATCACCAACAACAAGACAAAATCTTGGCAAGAGATTCAACGAGAATTCGGGAAATTGCAAGAGGAGAAGAAAGTTCAATTAAAATACAGAGTAAGAAGAGAGTGAGGGTAGTTGCATACCTGAGAAACTAAAAGCAGAGACCAATTGAGAAGAAATTGCGCTCTTGATTGTTGAAGAATCCACCGAGAGACCAATGAGAAGCTACTAAAAAAATATTTTGGCCCACTAATTTTAACATCAGTACAACTATTTGGCCATACAACAGCTTAGGATGTTTTCTGTTCGGCTAAATATATAAAGGATGAAGTTTAAGTGGGCGTTTGGACATAACAATTGTAAAATTTCAAAAAATAAGTAAAACAAATTTTCAAGTAAAAATGGTATTTGAAAATTAGAGTTGTGTTTGGACATGAATATAATTTTTGGTTATTTTTGAAGTTTTGTGAGTGATCTGAGTGAATTTTTTTTAAAAATAGCTTTTTGGAGTTTTTCAAATTTTTGAAAATTTTCAAAATGCATCTTTAAGTGAAAATTGGAAATTTTATGATCAAACGGTAATTTCGAAAAAGGTGAAAAAAATTCAAAAAAAAGCTAAAACGGGCTGTTAAGTTTGAGGATAGTATAAGGATGTTTTTAGCCAAAAACTCTTGAAGAGAGATGGAGTATTCGAAGACACGAGAGTGTAAGAGGGTGTTTGGCTAAGCTTATAAGCTGGTCAAATTGGCTTATAAGCACTTTTTGGCTTATCTACGCGTTTGGTAAAATTAAAAGTGCTTATAAGTTTATTTTTTTTATGAGCAAAAAATAAGCCAAAAGCCATAAGTTGGTCTTCCCCAACTTATCAACTTTCAACTTATAAGCACTTTAAGTTTGACCAAAATATTTACTATTCTATCCCTAAAATATTTCTTTTTAAAACAAAACTTTTCGTCTACCCAGTTCTTCAGCTGCTTATTATTAATTTCACTTTTATTCAAACACGTAGCTGCTTATTTTTTAAATTTCAGCACTTTAAAGTGCTTATCAGCATCTAATACTTATCAGCTATTCTAAATCAGCTAAACCAAACGGGCTCTAAGTATAGTTATATTATTTTAGGGATTTGGAAGTTTGACTAAGAGAAAAGGAAAGAAAAAGATAAGTAGTAAAAAGGGATGTGGGGTTGGGTCTTAGAGGAACTTTAGAAAAGAAATAAAATAGAAAAATTTAATGAAAAAGAAGTATAGAAAAATTTAATTAAAAAAGGTATGTGGGGATGGGGTTTGAACTCTGGAGTTGGTAGACAAAAGGGGCGCTAAATCATCCATGCATCAAAGTAGTCGATTGAGCATGGGTGGTCACTAAAATATTTAAGTATATAACTAAAAAAAATTGTACTGTATATGCATAGTTTAGGGAGGGGAGCATGGGTGCATGTACCCCACCCCCTCCACATAAATCCGCCCCTGGTCAAGTTAATATAAGAGTGGACGAAACAACAACAACAACAACAACAAACCCTAGAGAGGTTGTTCCGATAGGCCCCTGGCTTAAGGAACGGTAAAATAAAGCAACAAGCAATAACAACACTAATATAATAAGGTAATGGAAGCAAGTGATATACCAAGTAATAAAGAGCTAAGAATAAAAGAATACAAAAATAGTACTAGAAGGTGAGAGATTGTCCATGGTGGGCTTGAGAAAGAGCAGAGGTAGGTCAAAGAAGTATTGAAGAGAGGTGATTAAGCAGGACATGTCATTGCTTCATATAACCGAGGACATAACTAACGATAGAAAGGTGTGGAGATCGATAATTAACGTGATGGGAACCTTCTAAGATTGTAACGTCCATTAAGATTTCGAAACAATGGATTTTATTATATTTAATTTAAGTAATTCAAAAATTTATTGGCATATAATAGGGTTTTCATTAAAACAATAAGCACAAACAAAAGAAAATAATCTCTTATTTGAAAACATATTGAAATGTTAGATTCAAGAATAAAAGAGTAGCATTCTTGTATGGTATCTTGTAGTGACTTAGTTGAATCGCGAAGATATTGCAATTATTCTTCTTCTATATGCTTATAGAAGAGATTTCAACTATTTTCAATAAGTATATTACACCGTCTCTGAGCACGCCAAGATTATTGTTGTTGTTGTTAGTTGACTATATTTGTAAAATAATTCTGGAAATATAAATGAATATAAACAGAAATGAACATAACAGAATTGAACAACAAAATAACAGAAAACCAATTCGAGCCCACTGAATTCATAGTGTTTTCTTAAGGAATTTAATCCCCTCCTAGTACCTAAGGTTATAGATTATTTCCTCCCAGGATAGAACGAATTACACACTGGTGTAGTGGTACTTCAAACCCCAGTGTTTCAGCGAACACAAAGTTCGATAGCAAATCACACTTACTGTTGCTTTGTTTGATGCTAAAAGTATGCAGAAGAAGGAGGAGAAACTCAGAAAATCGTAGTGAAATTCTGAGCAGAATAGTGTTGTATTTATAGCCAAAGTTGGGCTGTAATCTGAAGAGGTGCAACTCTTCAGAATGGATGTTTATGCAAAACGGCCACGGCATAAATGCTCAACAATAAAGAGGAAAAATAAAGAGGAAAAATTGAAGAGGGTAGTTACTTTTCTGTTACCAAAACAGAAAAACGGATTAAATTTGGTACAAAAAGTTAATCAATCAATCATTTGACCGAAGCCGAAGCCGAAGCCGAAGCCGTAGCCGTAGCCGAAGCCGAGCCGAGCGAGCGACGATGACGACGGCGCGAGGCTTGACTTCTTCTCAACTCTTTAAGAGTTAGAAGAAGAGCAATTGCTTATATACCCATATAAAACCTCTTCATCTTCCAATATGGGACAATGTCCATTTACAAAGGGGGAACTTAAAATTTCACTCAAAAATTTTATTTCCCTCCATTTCCCATTCACCCTCTTTTAAGTATTTAATATATTAATTAAATACATCCAAAACCCAACAATCCCCCACATGAATGGGGAATGGCTATATCACGGAAGTATGCATGAAAAACTGTGTGATTCGCAAGTAAGGATTAATTGCATCTGGATAAGTAGGTTTCCCTTTGAACTTTCCGTAGTGAACTTATGTCGGATATACTCGATCAATCGGTAGATTTGATATCTTTGAACCGTCGAACTTTAGTGTATACCTAGACAACCACAAGTCACACAACCAACTCTTAACCGTCTTTGGTTCTCATTGTTGTGTTCGTTTCAGCCATGAACACCGCCTAGTTTCATAAGTGCGTAGAGAACTAGCCTTACAATATTCTCCTTGAAGCGGCTAACACTTCACACTTACATAGGTGATTCCTAAAGGTGTCATCCCGTAGATACACTATTTGATATACCCGTATCAAATTTAGAAATCATTAAAAAGCCTTAATGCTTTATTCTTGGTACTGAACATTGTCTCATCACGAGAATGGACCAAAAGTTTAGTTGACAATGTTGAACCGTCATAAATGACTTTGTTTGATCTCCTTGAACCTAGATCTTGGGATCTCCAGTCTTCTAGTTAGAGTTACCGCCACTATGACTTGTTCTCGGCCACAGTCCCATTCCCCTTGATGACTTCTCAACTACCTCTCTAGTTAGGCCTTTTGTAAGTGGATCCGACACATTATCACTTGACTTTACATAGTCAATCGTGATAATTCCTCTAGAGAGTAATTGTCTAACGGTTTTATGTCTTCGTCGTATATGGCGAGACTTACCGTTATACATAACGCTCCCAGCCCTTCCAATTGCCGCTTGACTATCACAATGTATGCATATTGGTGCCAACGGTTTGGGCCAAAATGGAATATCTTCCAAGAAATTCCGGAGCCATTCAGCTTCTTCACCGGCTTTATCCAAGGCTATGAACTCAGCCTCCATTGTAGAGCGGGCAATACAAGTTTGTTTGGATGATTTCCAAGATACCGCTCCTCCACCAATAGTGAATACATATCCACTTGTGGACTTGGAATCAGTTGATCCGGTGATCCAATTTGCATCACAGTATCCCTCAATGACCGCAGGATATTTATTGTAGTGCAAAGCAAAGTCCTGGGTATGTATTAAATACCCCAAAACTCGTTTCATGGCCATCCAATGAGATTGGCCTGGATTGCTCGTATATCGACTCAATTTACTTATAGCACAAGCTATATCTGGTCGTGTACAATTCATGATGTACATTAAGCAACCCAACACACGAGCATAATCCAATTGTGATATGCTCTGGCCTTTGTTCTTTGCTAATGCAAGATTCACATCAATTGGAGTCTTTGTAACTTTAAAGCCCAAGTGCTTGAATTTTCAAGTACTGTCTTAATATAATGAGATTGTGACAATGCTAGACCTTGAGAAGTCTTATGGATCTTAATTCCCAGAATTAAATCAGCAACTCCCAAGTCTTTCATATCAAACTTGCTAGTTAGCATACGCTTAGTAGCATTTATGTTGGCAATGTCATTACTCATTATGAGCATATCATCCACATATAAGCAAACAATGACTATGTGATTTGGAACATTTTTAATGTACACACATTTATCACATTCATTTATCTTAAATCCATTTGACAACATTGTTTGGTCAAATTTAGCATGCCATTGTTTGGGTGCTTGTTTTAATCCGTAAAGGGACTTAACAAGTCTACAGACCTTCTTTTCTTTACCTGGAACCACAAACCCTTCAGGTTGTTCCATGTAAATTTCTTCCTCCAACTCTCCATTTAAGAAGGCCGTCTTAACATCCATTTGATGAATTTCAAGACCATAAACTGCAGCTAACGCTACTAACGTTCGTATGGATGTAATTCTTGTAACTGGAGAGTATGTATCAAAATAGTCAAGACCTTCTCGTTGTCTATACCCTTTGACCACAAGTCTTGCCTTATACTTGTCAATAGTGCCATCATCTTTCATTTTCCTCTTAAAGATCCATTTAGAACCCAACGGTTTGTTTCCAGGAGGAAGATCAACCAATTCCCATGTATGGTTGTTCAGTATGGATTCTATTTCACTATTGACCGCCTCTTTCCATAACAATGATTCCGAAGAAGACATAGCTTCTTTAAATGTTTGAGGCTCATTTTCTAA